GGTATCTACTTGCTGGGGTCTGTCTTTTGTGGTACCTGGCATTATAATATCCTTAATGGGGATTATATGCTACCTGTTTCTTATTGAACGTAAGTACCTATGGTGAAATGGATTTATATACGTGTGGGTGTAAAAATGTATCTAAGTATATGTACATGTATATATGTACGTATGTGTGTGTGTGTATACACATAAATACGTACACATAAATACAGATTTCGTTTTCATCTGGAATCAGTCAATCAATCAATCAATGCTATTCACAGCCATAAAATAAAGCCTAATCTCCTAGCTTTTCTTTGTCAAATAACAAAATAGATTTAAAAATGTAGAACTGAATCCAGGATAGAACAGAAGCTGTAACCTTAACCCATCTGCAATTTAGATATAGGTTTAACAAAACTTTCATATTTAATGACAATTTTCCATTATTGTGCCCTTTCATAATAATAGTTTTTTTATTACTGCAGTTGGCAACATTTTGAAAAATATGCTAGATGCGTGTTAATTTATTCTATTTTCTATTGCATTATTTCAGATCCTAAGGATGTAAACGATACAGTCAAATCATCAACTGTAAGTAAAGTGTTTTTTTTTTAACAATATCTGACAACTGATATTTTTTGGGAAGGGGGAGGTTAGGGGGAAAAAATCAATCTTGGGAAATACCTTATTCAGCTTCCTTTTCCTTTAATGTTCCAGCAAAACTGCTGTGATTTTCAGAGGTTGGAACTCTATACTTGCACATACTGGTTTATCTTATTAAGTATTTGCTCCAAAATCGATGAGACAATTTTATTCAATAGTTTCAAGATGCCCAAAATGTTCTCCCACTAATGTGTTCTCCATGGCCTGCCCTCAAAGACCATTGGGAAGCTGCAATTGGTCAGATTTCATTGTCTTATCCCCCTCCTCACACACTAACCTTTCAAAAATATTTAAAAACTAGCTTTTCCTCTAGGCATTTTGGTTGGGATGTTAGTTGTGGTAATCCAAGAGATGTTTGTTTGTTTCTAAATTTGTTGGTGCTGTTTTTAATTTTATGTTAGCCACCTAGAATTGCTTTGGTGAATTGGGTAGTCATAGAACATTGATTAAATAAAATAAAATTAATTAAAATAAAATGAAATAAAATAAAATAAAATATGCCCATTGATTAACACCAAATAAGACCACTTATTTCTACTAATATCGTCTTTATAGAGATGGCACTTCCGCTATCATAGAAGAACCCAGCACCTGCTCTTTCTCTTGTTGCTCGAGTCCCAGCTTCTTTGCCCTGCCCTCTCCATGTTCTATTGCCACATCCTTCTTCATTGCACCTATTAAAATATATTTCAGAAACGTTACCTGAAAGGCTCAAGTAAATTCAGGATTTTGAAGCCAGCAGTAAGCAGTAAGGTAACAGAGACATCTCAGGTAAAGCTAAAATATTTTCATAAATAGTTTTAAAGTACTTATTACAATCCTTGTAAATCATCTGCATGCTATAGAAAAAGTCATACAGCTTAATGAAATAGTCTTTGCTTAATCACAGTTGTTCCAATTCTTCATAATCAGGCCTGATTTTCATTTATCTGTCCTTGTGTAGCTCAGTGTATCTGTGTGTGTTTAATTTGGGTGGGTCATTACTTTTAGGGCTTTAAAAATACCTTGTTAGCATCTGATAGGGCTGGCTTTACCCTGAGGAAAGACGAGACAGCCAGTTCAGATGACAGAATAGGAAAAGTGGTCTTTCCAATTGACCCAAGTCCTGATTCCATTCTGCACCCAACTCCAGTGTATGACTCTAACCATTCTTGGAGCAAGACTCCAATGCTATTAAACTTCCTATGAAACATTCCAAAGTTTTAAGAAAGGTCAGCATTGTATTACTTTACCAATGTGCTTGTTAAATACTGATTACTTTACTAATCAAGGAGAGAAGCAATCTAGAACTAAGGAGAAACTTCCTGACAGTGAGAACAATTAACCAGTGGAACAACCTGCCTCCAGAAGCGGTGAATGCTCCAACACTGGAAGTTTTTAAGAAGAGACTGGACAGCCATTTGTCCGAAATGGTATAGGGTTTCCTGCCTGAGCAGGGGGTTGGACTAGATGACCTTCAA